GAGAACAACAGTGTCCTCTTTGTGACTCTAAATAAAGTCACTTTAGAAGACTCTTCATAGTTTTGCAATTTAAAAATAAAATAAAATAAAATTCAGTTATTTTCCCATCAATATGTTGAAGTGGAATGTTAGCATTAATTTGATAACATCCTTTTAAAAGGAACCTGTGAATTTGGAATCTGGTTATTTTTAATCATTTGGTTTGGAGGTTGGGTTTTTGTGTGAGCATCTTTCATTTTATTTCCTTTTTGGACAGAAAGCAATATGGGTAGGGCAGAAGTATGACCAGAGCAGTGTTCTCTTTGCTACCTTTCAGAGGCTCAGCTAGTGAGAGAGCACAATGGTACACTCTTAAAAATGGCCCAGTTTGCTGCTGGGCAGTTTGCTCCCAGCAGAAGACATTACCTTTGTCCTTGATTCTTGTAATACTTGTAATACTTCTCTCCCTTCTTGATCAGACTGTGACCCACCAACACTAATTTAGCACTAAGGACCGTGTTGACTGTGTGCAAATGTAAGTTCCAATCCTGCAAAAACCTATTACTGAGTGACTGACTTACAAGAACTGTCCCATGGATGCAGCTGAAACATTTGGTGAGAGGAGATGATACAACTTTTTGTAAAATAAATACATGAATAATCTATGAATCTATGAATATAACCAAAAAAAGCTTAACACAAAGTGTTTCATTGTGTGCAGCTGTTCATCCAGAACCAGGCTGTTCTGCTTATTTCCAACCCTGGTAAGTAAACTTTTAACTTTTTAAGGAGCAAAGTTAGATGCATTCAGTATCATAATGTCATTTAAGAAAATACTTAACTATCCAAAGCTCAACAGATTCCACAGGTCACCTCCACTGCTGCTGCTAACAGTCTAGCTGACAAATAGCCAGAGGAGTGGAAGAGAAAGAAGCCACTGTGGTCTGCCCTGGATCCAACAGATCTGTCCTTAATAGTTTCACTTACCTCAAAAAATACAAGAATTAACACCTTCAAGTGCCCTAATTTAATGTTATACAAAAAACTAGAATTCTTGGTTCCAAAATGGTCTAATAAAAGGTAACATTTTGGAACCAAGAGTTCTATTTTTTTGTACGTCTTTTTGTCTCAGAGCAACACGGCTACCATACACCCCTAATTTAATGTTAATGTTCTATGGCTTGACCCTAACTTTAAAACACAGTGGCTGCT